TTCATGTCTGAATCAAAGTCGAACTTTTGCTGTTCTATTCGACTGCCGCAGTTAGTTTTGTAGGCTACTCTTTGGGTAAGTTGGAGACATTGTGTTATAGTGTAAAGCCCTTTCTTGGAGCAACTACTAGTCAAGCAGCAAAATCCGCTAGCCTGGAGCCGTCGAAGGGAACGTCCAAATAATGGATGACGTAGTCTAGGCAGGGAGAAAAACATAAAGGTAATAAAAAAAAACTAATAATGAGGGATGACCAAAACTTGAGGAAGTCGGTGAACATGAAAAATGTGTAACTCCAGATCAATGGGAGTATTTTTGTACAGTGTTTTTGATGTCCCCAGTGATTAGCTGCTAAGGGTAGTTGTCATTGTTAAGAATAGCATAGGTAATCGTATGAATTCGAATCCTATTGTGGGTTTACACTACAAGTGATTTTTGAAAATTCTCTTAAAATTAGACGAGACTTGAGGCGAGTGCAATCTGATAAAATTTTTAAATATCACGAGTAGCGTAAATCCTTAATTGCTCTCACATTTTAACGATTACTCGTTCATTATATGAGGGAGACAATTATGAACGTGCGTGCATTAATTTTCACCGCAGTGCAAATTAAGGATTAACGTTAAATTTGTCTGCTCTCAGCCAATCACAATGAAGTAATTTTCTTAGTCGTATGATAAATAGCCTAATACACAGTCTATTCTCGTTTTGTCTTCAGCTGGTCTACCAGAGCCCACGACAACAGTTATTCAGCCCGGTGATTGGGAAGATAACAGATGGTAAGATATGACTTTTAGATACCTGATATAGAGTTGATAAATATACATACGTTCTGGTGAAATAAATCTCTATTTTTTCCTGTTCATTCTGCAGGTTGCAATATTCGTCTAGTGATCTCCCCAAGACCAAAAATGAGTGGGAAGGCTGTGTTTTCATCGATAAAACTCACTGAGGCTACTATACATGGCCAAAGTAAGTATTTGAATAAACAGTAGAACTATGGTATAGAGTGTTTTCACTCACGTGGCCAGCAACCGTGCAAATTGTTTGGACCTTCTAACGCCTCCAAACAACCAGAATGCAAGCCTTAGGGTGTTTCTAGTCAAACGCTTAGCGCCTCCACATGAAGTTACGACTTGATTTCTCACAAGATGAGATAGTTTATTAATCTTCTAACTGCAGACCACTCAGTGTGGTCGGGCATTTGTTCACAGAAACGAAGTGTGTCACAGTTAGACGCGTCTTGTATTGTAGGATAAACAAAAGTCTATTATTTCTTCTTGTAAAATTCTGTAAAAGAAACCTTCCCGCACGCTTCACTAAGTAAACAAATTTAACATGTGCCTGTGCATGCTTTGTCTAGAAAACTGCTGACCTATGCTCCCGCAGACCAACAGCCAATTCTAGGGAGAACACGTGACCAACTTTCGGAGGTAAGTAAAATATATGTATTGTTGGGTTGTGTTTTATTATGTACATACACGGTCATCTATTGAAGAATTATTAGAGCTGTAGGTACAAGAGTATAAGTGTGGGAGTTTGGCGTTAATTCATGTAGTATTTGCAGTAATTCTCTTCACAACATGGGAATTCCTTCGAGGTCATAAAGTTCTTATTCCTATAAAACAGGGTAAATACCCTGTTCATTTTAGTCTTATATAGGGGGCGGGAGATGACTGACATTTCAGGCTAAGTCGTATAGTCTGATGAAAATCTTTGTTCGCCTGACAATAATTACTCTTCCCACTCACCCTGGAGAAGCATTCCGAAGCGTGACCACCCTAGAAAGGCCGCAAAAGTTACAATCCTTGCTTTGTTCGTGTCCTCTTTGACTGGTGTCCTGAGTGACTTGTTTTGCTGTTGTTTTTGTTGTTTTCAGGAGGAGCAGCCAATTTACGATGCCTTTAGTCAAGAAGAATTTATGTCAAAATTCATCTCGTTTCTATCCTTAGAAGATAGGAAAGGCAAAGATAAATTCGACGTTCATCGCTTTGTGTTGTTGAAGGTCAGAGAAAAGATTTCTGTTGTCAGTTATGTCCTAAATAACAAATAAAGAATAACTAAATAAAACCATGAAATTTCGCTCATCACACTTGATGGTAGAAATTTTATTGGTCATTTTCTGAGCAATGGATGCGAAACTTGATGGAAAATTGACCGGTCATAGAATTCTAACCAGTGAACACTAGAGAACGTTTGATTTGTGTCGTTCTCTCGATTTTCCCGACCAGTGACTGATAATCGAGCCTAACGCTAGAGTTGCTTCGAAACTCAACCGAACCATGCATTTGGACGTCGTACGACAAATCTGGATAATGTCGCTGGTCTTAAAAGTAGCAGTCACCAATAATCTCTCTACATAACCCAGAGGGGCTGGGAAAGTCGAAATGCTCATTTCTGTAACTGAGCTGATTTAAAAATTATTAAGCAATTCGCGCCAGTATTCGCGCCCCCAAAGTGGCGGGAAAAAATCGGCGCACGTATCAGCTAATCACAAAACTTTTCATTTGCGCGTGTTCAGACAGTGGCGGGAAAAGTCAGAATGGGGTCCCCGCCACGAATTGGCAGTCGGTAGTAATCGGTTTNTTCTTGTTCCTATGACATTTTAGGCTAAACCTATTTAATTGTTAGTGTCCATACTCTTTGTATTGTTAGCAAGGCGGACTTTACAACGACGAGACAACCAACAAAATGTTCAACGCCCTTGGTAGAATCTTATTTTCTGGTCACGCGCCCCGTCTTAGCCTTGAGTAAATCTGGTCACGTGCCACTTCCTCCTAGCCAAGTGCAAATCTGGTAACGCGTCACGTCCTCCTGGCCACGTCCAAATCTGGTCACGGGATAAGTTTACCTTGTCACGTGTCACGTTCCGATGATTCCTCCTTGGTTTAGCCACGTGTAGTGTCACGATTTTTATTGACTTGAACATCGCTTAGCTATGGTAGAGAATCTCCAAAGAATTTTGTTCCACATTCATCGTTCACTCGATTTTAACGCGTATAGGTTTCAAGAAAGACCAAATTAAATGTAATTTCGTAACCTTATCGTACTTTCGAGCTTTCCTGTTTTGTAGACATTTGTCATTAGTTTTTTTTTCACTTTCTTTATCAGATCGCTAGTAGTAACTTGTGGCACCCGAGGCGAAGTGTCTTGGAATATCTACAAGTCATGATTTTTGCCAACCTCTTCGCCATCACCAGTAACCCTCAGTTCGTTCTGGACGTGAAGGACCTGGTGCTCAGTCTCCTAGCAGACGAGCAGTTAGAGGTAAGTGTTATGTTGAGAACCAATCAGAATGCTGCAACTGATGGCAACGAGCTCAATAGCCATCGCAGGTGTTTCAGTCATTGTCGTCCTGTTTGTTGCTGTTGTAGTTATCTTTTGTTGTCATTTTCATCTCCCACAGGTTCGAGAGATGGCGGCTGTAACATTCAGTGGCCTGGTTCATTACGGCTTCTTTCAGCTTGACGACAAACTGCAGATACGAGATTAACGCTGGCACTTCTGAAATTACTTTTAGTGCTACTTGAAAGCTCTGCTTAACGGCTCTCATTTGAATGGTCTCACACTAGGGTTTCATCCACAGATTTAAAAGTTAGATCCACCTTGTACAGCATAATAAACAGTACCACATGAAAGTACTGCTCAATAGCTTATCATTTGAATGGTCACACACTAGGGTTTCATGCAAAGACTTAACAGTTAGATCAACCTTGTATATTGTCATAACAGTACCACTTGAAAAATCTGCTCAGTAGTTTTCATTTGAATGGTCCTACACTGAGGTTTCATCCACACACAGGTAGAAACAACAATTGAACTAAGGTACAGGGCTGTATGCTCAGCAACTCATAAACTGTCATCTGTTTTTTTACAGAAACAGTTCACAAAGATGGCAAACACCAAGCTTAAGAAAAAGAAGAAGGGAGTGATTGGTGCAAATGGACTGAACAAT